GCGTGCGTGTATTTTTCCTTTTTTTTTTGGAAAAGGGGGGGAAGGGGAAGGGGTCGAAATATTTTCCTTCTGCGTGTAGTAATAATAATAATAATTTATTTAAACGCATTTAAACGTCAAACGGGAAATCCTCCCCCGTTCCTGCACACGCCCCCTCCCAAAAAAACAAAAAAAGTTTTTTTTTTTTTTAATAACCGTAATTACAGTTTAACTCGAAAATAAATAATAATAATAATAATTTATTTATTTATTTATTTTTACTAGCGAAAACTTATTGATCTAAATAATAATGATAATGATGATGATAATAATAATTAGTTTTATATGGGAAAAAACAAAAACAAAAAAAAAATAAAATAAGGGAAAATTAAAATTAAGAAAGAGAGAGAGAGAGAGAGAGAAAAACTTTTCCACAGGCGGAAGGGTGTGGGATCGGTGGTTGAGGGGGTTGTGGGGAAGGGGAGGTGAGGGGTTCATACACATGACATGGCCGACGATTTTTAAGTTGAAGAAAAATGAAGAAACCTTCGCCTGGCACCGAAAATCCTTAAAATTACTCAAAAAGAAAAAATTCTAATTAGAAATAGAATGTTTTGCCGTCACGAAGGAAGAATCATGATGAATAAGTTTTCCTTTTTCTTCTTCTTCTTCTTTTTCTTCTGCTGGAATAAAAAAAAAAAAAAAAAAAATTTCCCCTCCTCGGAAAGTACATTCTTTCATGATTATTATTATCATTATTATAAATACAATAATGTCACGAATGAATATATATGTATAAATACGTAAAAATAATAATAATAATAATGATGATGATGATAATTTTCTTATGTGCGACACTTTTGGGTTAAGGTCATCAAAGTCTTCGTAGTCACAGTTTTGGTAATAATAATAATAAAACTCTTTTGAAAAAAAAAGGGTAAAAAAAAAAAAAAAAAACAAAAAGTTCCTTCTCGAAAGGTTAATTGAAAAAAAGGAAAAAAAAAAATTATTTTTAATGTTTGCACGTGTTAATTTTATGTTGTACACGTGTGACGTGTCATTCCGTGAGTGAGTGAGTGAGTGAGTGCGCGTGAGGAGTAGTACGCGTAACGCATTAAAAATAAACGATTAAAAACAAAAAAAAATTTCATTTTGTATGTGTGCGTGCGTGTGTGCGTGTGCGTGTTCGTGCATGTACGTACGTAAGAATGCGTATTTTTTTTTTTTCCAGAAAGTTCGAAATGAAAAAAAAAAAAAAAAGAAGGAAAAGAAGAAAAAAAAAAAAGTTTTACATATTCGTAATTTTAATTTTAATTTTTTTTTTTCTTCACAATTTTCTTGAGTAACTTTTTTTTTTTTTTTTTTTTTTTTATCCAGAGATTTTCTTTCTCTTTCTATTTTAAATATTTTAATTATATTTTCTCTCTCTCTCTCTCTCTTATTCCTTACGAGAAAAAAAAAAGAAAAAACTTTTCTTTTCTTTCTTTCTCTTTTTTTTTCCTTCTTTCTTTCTTTCTTTTTTTCTTTCTTTCTCGAATCTATCCATCTTTTTCTTTTTCCTCGTGTTAATTAATCTTTCTCTTTTCACGAGGTTTTTGCTGTTTTTTTTCTTCCTTTCCTTTCCTTAACCTTCCCCCCGCTTTCTTTCGTTTCGTTTATCTCTTTCTATTTTTATGTTTCTCTTCTCTTGTCTCTTTTTTTTCTCTCTCTCTCTCTCTCTCACTCCTACTCGATCGTTCTCACTCGTTCGTTCGTTCGTTCGTTCGTTTGCTCGTTCGCTCGTTCGTTCGTTCGTTCGGTTCGTTCGTTGTTTTTTTTCTCTCTTTCTCGCACACATTTTAATGCCATAAATCTATTTTCAATCATCTTCTTTTAATTTCGTACCGCGGAATGAGAGAGGGGACGAGGGGTAAGGGGAGAGGGGAGGGGGACAGGGCGGAGCGAAGGGAAAAATGAAAAAACAAAAAAATAAAAAAATAAAAAAAAGGAAAAAATTTTCCATCTTTTTTTAATTTTTCCTTCGGAAAATAAAACAAAAAAAAAAAAAAATAAGGAAAAGAAAAGAAAAGAAAAGAATAAGAAAAAAAAACATTTTTTATTCTTTTCTTTTTTATTAAAAATTAACATTTTCCATCTTTGTCTAACTCGTACGGGAGCTTTTTATTAACACATACAACAAAGTCGGCGGTGGTGAAAGCGAAAAAAAGAAAATTTTTTTTTTTCATCTCTTTTTATCCCATTCGTAATTATAATTTACCATCTTTGTTTTATTTCCGGTGAATTTATTTCCCTCTCTTCGACATCTCTCTCTCTCTCTCTCACTCATTTATTTTTCTTATTCTACCACTCTGTTTTTTTTTTCCTTTTTCTTCTTCCACTCACTCGTCTCATTTTGTTTTTTTCCGCGACATGTGCTTTTATAGAAAATCTTATAGTTTTTTCTCATTTACTTTCTTTTTTTATTTTGAGAGAGAGAGAGAGAGAGAGTGAGGGAGAGAAAGAGAGAGATAGAAGAAGATTGTTTTTGACTCGCCCTATTTCCTTCGTTTTTTTTTCTTTTTTTTTTCGTTTAGCTTTTGGAAAAATGTCTGCCACAAGCCTACCGTGAATGTGATGGGTAAAACTAAAAAACCTTCTAACCGACGACGACGACGATGACGACAACGACGTCACTTTTCCTTTTTCTTTTTTTTAATTTGTTTTCCCCATTATTATCATTATCATTATCATTATCATTATTTTTTCAAATTAACAAAAAAAAAAAAAGAATACGAATGCGTTCTTCATTCGTACCTGAAATTAATAAGAATTTTTTTTTTTGTCTCTCGTTATCACTATTGTTAATTACTTACCGATCATATTAATAATAATAATAATAATAAGTGAAAAAAATGATGATAGTTTAAGAAAAAAAAAAAAAAGAAAATTTTGCGTTAAATTGGCGGTTAAGCGGCGCCGACGCTTTTTACACATCCGCGTAAGTTAAAAATTTTTAGTTTTCGCGGCTCAACGGTCAAGTTGTGATGCGTGTGTTAAAAATTTTCCCGGTTTTTTTTTTTTTTTTTTTAATTTTCACGTTTGGTATACCTGTTTTTTTTTTGTATTTCGCTTATGTAGAAAAAAAACTTTTCGGTTAGAAATGAAAGAGAGAAAAAAATATTTTCCGATCGGAAATGGTGATGATCGTGTGAATGCGTCGGTTAATAATAATCATCGCATGCAAAAAAGGAAAAAAACGACAGAAAGGAAAGTAGGGGATGAAGAAGGGAAAAGGGGAAAGGGAAGGAGAAAAAAAAGGAAAAAAGTTTTTTTTTTTTTTTTTTAAGATCGAATGAGAGTGTTTTACGAAATAAGGGAAGAAAAAAAAAGTGTGTTGGTGGTGGTGGTGGTAGTAGGTGGATGGAAATGAAACTCGAGGAAAATAAATGAAGAAAAGGTAAGAGGAGGAAGAGGAGGGTTCGATTCTTCTTCTTCTTAGTACTACGAAGAAGAAGAAGAAGACCAGGAAGGAGTACAGAAGAAGAGGGTTTTGGAAATCTCACTTATGCCTATTGTTTACTTAAATACACTTGGTTTTTCCTTGGAAGTTTGGCGCTTGCGTTGTCATGAGGTTTTCCAAGCTTTGTCTAATCGGATTCATTAACGAGGGATCCGGGAATTATGAGTCCAGTAACCGGGGCCCTGACAGATATTTTTCACCCCCGACGCCGGACGTCTTACGTACGCAAATAAGTGCGGGAAAACAACAAAAACAATTTTTTTAAACTAAATTTTTTTTCTTTTTTTTTTCTTTCTTTCTTTTAGTTTCTTCCCTTTTTTTTTTTGTTTCATTTTTACTCTTTGAGAAAACAAAAAAACAAATTTTAGTTTTTTTTAGTAAAACAGGAAAATACTTTTAAACTTGAGAAAACTTTTCTCTCTCTCTCACGTGGTTTTCCATTTTAGTTTTTTGAAAGTAAAAAAAAATGCGCGAAAAATTTTTTCAAATGTGATTTTTAATAATTAATTACGTATGAATTGTGCGTGTGTGTGTTTTTTAAAATTAATAATAATAATACATAAAATGTTATCGAAATGTAGTAATAATAATAATAATAATTAACGGGATTAATATAAATAGAAAAAAAAAAATAATAAAAAGGATTTATTTAAATTAAAGATGATCAGTTTTTTGTGTTATTTATTTAAATTTTGTTTAAATGTGTGTCGTAAGTTTTATTTATTTATTTATTTATTATTAACATTATTATTATTATTATTATTATCGTCATTAAAGTCATTATTATTATCGATAGTAAAAGATTTGAAAAGTTTTTTTTTACCGGTTTTTTGTTGTTTATTTGTTTTTAACGTTTTCGTCTATCCACGTGTACGTCGACGTTTATTTTTATTTTTTTCTCCAGAAAATTTATTATTATTATTATTATTTCTATATGTATGTTTTAAAAGGAAGATAAATGATAAAAGATTTTCTTTGAAATTTTTAAAGAAATTTTTCGTCCGTTATTTTTTTTAAAATAATTAAAAGTTATCACGTTTTACTCCCCATCTTTCTCGTTATCATCGTTATCAGTAAATTATAAAAAATTAATTAACGGAAATTATAATATGACGTCATATTAATTATAAAAATTGATATGACGTCAATTTTATAATTTTCCTGTTGCTTTGATTTTTTTTTTTTAAATTAATCGGCATGAAGTTAATTAATTAATAAATATTTATTATTATTTCATAGAGTATGAAAACAATTTTTTTTTGTCTCCCCATTACTCCCTCGCCCCTTCTCAAAATGAGATTTTTTTTTCGTCTTTTTCGTTCGAATCGATTAATAAAATACAAAAAAAAAAAATTATGAACGACATCATTTTTTTTTGTTGGCCGTTTTGTCTGTTTGTAAATTTTTTATGGGATTTTGATTGTTAGCCGTCGGTAAAATTTACGGACCATTTTTTTAAAAAAAATTATAATTTAATAATAATAATAATTAATTTCAGACTGGGGAAAAGAAGCGTAAAATAATGAGTTCGCAGCATTACAGTTTAAGATGGAACAACCATCAAAATTACATATTGAATGCCTTTGATACACTTCTCCAAAGCGAAACACTCGTTGACGTCACTCTCGTGTGCGAAGAAACTAAAATTCGGGCACATAAAGTCGTTCTTTCTGCATGCAGGTAATATGCACACATGCACCTACACGCACACACGCACCCATCCGTTATACTCACGATATCTTATTCGTTTTTACAGTCCTTATTTTCAAAAGATATTTTCCGAAAATCCTTGCAAGCATCCGATAATCGTATTAAAAGATCTTAGAGGATGGGAAGTACAAGCAATTGTTTATTTCATGTACAAAGGAGAAATAAGCGTTGTACAGGATCAGTTACAAAATTTAATAAAAGCAGCAGAATCGTTACAGGTTGGTATCACTGATGGACAATTACCATCATTGATCGTATATGTGTTGTCATAATTGTAATCATCATCATTATTTTAAAACGTTGAATTATATGAAATGTGTGTGTTTTTTCGGTTAGGTGAGAGGTTTGACACAACCGGAACAAATTCCCGGAAGTAAAAAGGATTGCGGTTTTCAATCCAATCATCCATTTTCACCATCTCCGAGTTCCGGTATGTACCAAACAGCCGACCGACTCTTTTCCACGTCGATAGACAAAGATTCCCTACCTTTGTCTCCTTATTCTCCGACTGCATCGTCTAATTATGATTCACCATTGAAAATAACGTCTCTCTCGCATCATATCACTCATCCGTTCACTGAAAATCCTTCCGAATCTACGAGGCAAAAGGAAGAAAGGGAGAGAGAAAGGGAGAGAGAAAGAGAAAGAGAAAGGGAAAGAGAAAGAGAAAAAGAAAGAGAAAGAGAAAGAGAAAGAGAAAGAGAAAAAGATAGAAGTTCTCCAATACCTCGAAGAAAACAGGTGAGTTCGCTTTGCGTTTTTCCACCAAAAGGAAAAAAAGAAAAAATAACAATAATAATTTTTTTGTTCTTTTTTCAGGCTCGACCCATGAGAAGAACCGGAGAACAACAACAACAACAACAACAACAACAACAACATGCTGTACCTCAAGATCTTAGCAAAAGAACTTGTTCGCCGGTTAATATATCTCCCGAAAATTTATCGTTAAAAAAGTCATTTACAAACAACAACAACAACAACAATAGTATAAGTAATAACAATACTATTTGTAGTAATATTTTTAGTAATAACAATAACAACAACAACAATAATTTAAGCACAAACAACAACAACAACAACAATAATAATACTAATAATAATAATAATAATAGTAACAATAATGTATCAGAGCAAAGAAGTCAAACAGTCGCACCTCCAAGTCCGCCACCACAAATCCCAACAGTAAGTTATAATACCGGATTTTATTTGTTTTGCTTGAGCGACGGCGGCGTCGGCTGCTGCTGCTGTTGTCGTATTATTAAAAAAAAAAAAAAAACCAAAAAAAAATTTTAAATTCGACATATTTATATTATTACAGCCGGGAAATACAAAACAAGAAATTCAAAGCGAATCCGATATTGAACCCCAAGAAAGAGACATTTTAGATATGCAAGGAATACCGGAAGATTTTCTAATGAAAACGGAATCCATTAATCTTTCTTCTGCTCATCCATCGGTAAGTTTCGGAAATCATTTTCTAAATAGTAATAATAATAATAATAATAATAATTCGAATGAAATTAATTTTCAAAAATTTTATTTTATTATTTATTAGGATCCCGCGTTGGACAATCCAAATTTTCTTCCTATTCCTTCTTTATCTGCTTTGTCAATGACACCGCCACACAGTAAGACTTTTTTTAAATTTATTTTTATTAAATTAAAAAAAAATGTGAGTGTGATTTTATTTTTATTATGTTGGCAGTTTTTGCTTTGGATCAACAATTGGGACTTTTTTCAAATCTGGATAACTGTAGGAATCCATTAATTAGTGACTTACCTGATCATCGTAGCGAAAATCATATAATAAATAAGAGAAAAAGTTAGTTTTGTTTTTTTTTTGTGTGTGTAATTACCATCCGTATCTCGGCTCACAATTTGTCATTTTTTTTTTAGTGGGGAGACCTAAAGGACAACACAGCGCCCCGCGCGGCGGTCCGCCAAGATCATGGACAAATGCTGAATTGACGGAAGCACTTCAACACGTTTGGAATAAAAAAATGACGACGTCACAAGCATCTAGAATATTCGGTATACCGTACAACAGCTTACTCATGTACGTTCGCGGAAAATATGGGAAAAGTTTAAAATTAGAACAATTAAAAAAAGACTGTTTGGGTGGACCCGGAGGACCGCTCGATCTTTTAGGTTTGAATCCCCCCCCGGGAAACAACAACAATCATCCCCCGGGTAAAGTCAAAACGGAAGATTTAACACACGGACTGAGACCATCCGAACACGACATGTCTTTGCCGTTAGGATTCAATCCTTACGCGGCGGCAAATTTTTATCCGGATTTCGGACCTCCGTTTCCGGTTCCCGTGAGCATGATACATCAACTTCCACCGTTTGATAAAAAGAGAGACTTGTTCAGTCAATCCGATAAAGGAAGAGATATGTTCGGTCACGAGGAAAAACCAAGAGATTTAATTAGTCAAGATAAACCGCGGGAAATTTTTCACCACCAACCGGAAAAAGCGAGAGATCTCTTGCAACAAGCCATGCAGTTACCACAAGATTTATCATCACCGGATTCTAAAGAAGATGATTTTCGAGGGCTCAGATGCAAATCGAGAGACAATACGGGAAGCTCATTAGAATGTTCACCGATTCCATTAAAACTCGAATCCCAAAATCAATTAATCGAAAATGGATCCGAAAATTAAAAAAAAAAAAAAAAAAAAAATACCAAAAACAACAAAAAGCAATAGAAAGTATGGTATAATCAACATCGTCCTTTTACAAAAGACTGAACCAATTTGCCAACAAACAATTTTTTTTTTTTTTTCTTAAGTTGTCAATAGTTTTCAAAACAATTGTTATTATTTTATTTACTCTATGATTTCAAACTATCAAAAAAGAATAGATTCAAAATTTTAACAGTTATTTCCCTGATAAAAAAAAAAAAAAATTTTTAAATAAATATATATATTTTGTGATGGATTCTTCAATCAATCAATCAATCAATTAATTAATTAAATAATTTAAACGCGTAAAGTTGTATTAAATAAATAAAAAATAAAAAAAATTATTTAAAATTTATAAAAAAAAAAAAACGGACGATCTCAAAATAATATATATAAATATAATTATAATTATTATTATTATTATTAATATGTATTAAATATAATATTAATAAAATTATATGTATGATAGTGTATTGATAAAAAAAAAAAAAAAATTTAATTGTGTGTGTAGCTTTTTTTATTATTATTATTATTATTATTATTATCGATAACTTATTACCAAATCAATTTAATTTAAAAAAAATAAATAAATAAATAAAAAATGTGATAGTTATGTATGTATGTATTTAAACGTACGCACACATACTTACATAAATAAATATATATATATATATATATATATATATATATATATACATAATTATTATTATTATTATTATTGTACTTGTAATTAATTATTTAATTATTAATTTTTATCGATGAGTAAGTTGTAAAAAAAAAATTATTTCGATTGATTTAAAAAAAAAAAAAAAAAAATCTGGAAAATCCAGGGTTTCAAATTATTATTATTATTATTATTATTATTAATCAAATAAAAACCGTTATCTTTTCTCTCTATTCCTCCCCTCCCCTCCCCATACCCTCCTTCCACGCGTCCATTCAAAAAATTTTTATTTTAAGCAATAAGTTTAATAATAATAATAATAATAATAATTAATTAGGTGTTTTTTTTTTCATTAGCGAATGATAAATTTAATTTACACGGTTAATAATAATAATGATAATGATAATAATAATAAAGTACATAAAATAAAAATAATTAATAATAATAATGAAAGTATACGAAAAAGTTTATATATATATATACTTAGTGTGTAAATATATAATTTTTTTTTGTTTTGTATTATTATTATTATTATTGTAATTATTATTATTATTATTATTATTAATCAAGAGGTAAAAAAAAAAAAATGTAAAAAGTCTTGAATTAATTTATAGGCCTAAATCTGTAGTTCTTTTACTAAGGAGCAGGGCACGGTATGAAAAGTTGCAAAAAAAAAAAAAAATTTTTTTTTCGTTTTTTTTTTTTTTTTAAATATGTATAATAAAATAATAATAATAATAGTGATGATAATGATGATGATGATTGGAAAAAAAAAAACGTTTGATATTTTGGGCATAAATTTCGACAATGTTTTGTTTTTTTTAGCACGGTTGATAAAATAATAATAATAATAATGTAACAGGTTGTTATTATTATTATTATACACAAACACACACACACTCAATGTTGTAAATATTATGTAAATTAGAATAATAATAATAATAATTTCATTATAGGTAATATAATTTGTTTCTTTTTTTTTTTAATTTAATTTATAATTGAGCTTCAATATTTTTTTTATTGTTTTAAATTGTTTTTGAGCTTCCTGTTGATCATATATATTATAATAATATATATACAAAAATATACAAATAATGATGAACCAAATAAACCAAAAAAACAAAGATTATTATTATTATTATTTTATTTTTTAATTAAATTATATTATTTCATAACGGTTATATAGTATTAATATTAAAAAAAATAATAGATTTTTTTTTTAATAAATAAATAAATTCCAGGGTAAATATGTACAGTTAAACAAGTGGATATATATATATATATAATTAATTGTATAAATAAACTTTTTTTTTATTATTTTATTATTTAATTTTAATATGTAAATTTATTTAAATTTTTTTATTTTTATTATTATTATTCGATTTAGTTTTTACCTTTACAAAAACGAATAAAAACCAAAAAAAAAAATTTTTTTTTAAATGTAATTCACTCAGTAAATTTTGTTTGTTATACACTTTTATTTTATTATTGAAAAAAAAAAAAAATTTTTTTTGTTATTAATTTATTTTATTTTTTATTAATAATAAATAAATAAATAAATCATTATTTAACGTTTTTGATTTAATAATCGAAACAAAAAAAAAAAATTTATTTATTAATAATAAATTAATTATTCATTTATTTTATTTTTATAAAAGATTAAATTATGTATATATATATATAATATATATATGCATAACTTTGTATATCAACATGAAAAATTTACTAATTAAATGTTTGCATATTAATAATAATAATAATTAAATCGATAAGTAAGAAATAATTTTATGAAATGTCTAGTTTATTTTAAATAATATCGAATAAAAAAAAAACTTTCTTTCATGAATATTTTCTTTTGTTGTTGAATATTTTATTATGTAAGTAGACAATCTAAAATGTTAATAAATTTATCGATTCATTTATTAAAAAAATAATTATTTTATAATTATGAGTGAAAGATATATATGTATACTGATATTTGAAAAGACATTTACAAAAAAAAAAATCAATCAAACTTTTAAGTTAATTTTTCATTGTGTTAGTTTTAAGTATGTGTGTGTGTGTGTGTTTTTTTTTTTTTCTAATCTCTACTCAAAAACAAATAAAAATTTGAAAAAGAAGAGAGAAAATAGAAAGAGTTGGACAAAAGAAATTTTTTATTGTTCTCTTTTTAAACTAAAAGCTCTGAATGAATTATAATAAATGCATAAAGTAAAATAAGAAGCAATTTCAAAAAAGATAATAATAATAATAATAATTTATAAAAATATAATAAATAATAATTACATTTACTTACATATAATTATAAAAAACTTTCAGATTTTGTTTTAACGTGTAAATAACAAAGGAAAATTTAAGAGGGGAACTCAAGTTTAATGAATGCATTTCTAAAGACACGAAACACATTATTCTGTTGTCACTTTAAACAATTGATTTGTCACCGAGAGATTGACCGAATTATTACAATTTAAAGGGAAAACATGTCTTCAGTTCAGAGTTTATTGTCTGTCGGGGGAACCCGAACATCAGGGGCTCCTGTCAGAACACAAAACGGTAAGTAAAATGTTGAATTTATATAAGAAAATTTCTTAGTAAGTTACATGTGCTTCTCGCCGGATTCATTGCGAAATATGAGTAATGCAATGCCGCTTTACGGTTTTAATTTTTTTCTCCTTGTCCCTGCCCATTCATATATGCACACCTGAATTTTGTTTTTTATTTCGTCTTGCGTTACGTTTATATTGCAATTTTTTTTTTAAATTATCCTTTTTTAATTTGATGAAATTACGGTAATTTATTGTTAGTAATTATTAATGATCTTTGTTTAAATTTTTTTTTAGTCATGGCCTCTTGTTCGATAGCCAACATAGTTAAAAGCTCACTTGGACCGGTTGGATTGGACAAAATGTTGGTAGATGATATCGGAGATGTAACCGTTACTAATGACGGAGCTACGATTCTTAAACTTTTGGAAGTTGAACATCCTGCTGCAAGAGTATTGGTTGAATTGGCACAATTACAGGATGAAGAAGTTGGAGATGGAACAACTTCAGTTGTCATAATCGCTGCAGAGTTATTAAAAAATGCAGATGAATTGGTTAAGCAAAAAATTCATCCTACTTCTATCATCAGCGGTTATCGTTTGGCATGTAAAGAAGCATGCAAATACATTCAAGATCATCTTGTGGCTAATGTTGATGAATTAGGAAGAGACTGTTTAGTAAATTGTGCTAGAACTGCTATGTCGAGTAAAATAATTGGAGCAGATGCAGATTTTTTTTCAAATATGGCAGTTGATGCTGCTAACTTGATAAAAGTTAACGATGGTAAAGGAGGCCACTTGTACCCTATAAAAGCTGTAAACATTTTAAAAGCACATGGTAAAAGTGCCAGAGACAGTATGCTTATCAGAGGGTATGCTCTCAATTGCACTGTTGCATCTCAAGCAATGCCTAAAAAAATCGTTGATGCCAAAATTGCCTGCTTAGATTTTTCTCTTCAAAAATCAAAAATGAAATTGGGAGTTCAAGTATTAATCACAGATCCTGATAAGCTTGAAGCTGTCAGACAAAGAGAAAGTGACATCACAAAAGAAAGAATACAGAAAATTTTGGCATGTGGAGTGAATGTTGTTTTGCTAACTGGAGGCATTGATGATTTGTGCTTAAAGTATTTCGTCGAAGCAGGAGCAATGGCAGTTAGAAGATGCAAAAAAGATGATTTGAAAAGAATTGCTAAAGCCACAGGTGCCACTTACCTCACTTCTTTGACCAACATGGAGGGTGAAGAAAGCTTTGAGCCAAGTTTTGTTGGAGAAGCAGCTGAAGTTGTTCAAGAAATGATTTGCGATGATGAGTTGATTCTTATCAAAAAGTAAGTTTAAACAATAATTTTAAATGTGGGAGAAAAATTAATTAGTTTTAACTTTTTTTCATTTGTTTTTTTTTTTTCTTTTTTTAGTCCGAAAGCCAGAACTGCCAGTTCGATTATCTTAAGAGGTCCAAATGACTTTTATTGTGACGAGATGGAAAGATCAATTCATGATTCTCTATGTGTTATCAAAAGAGTATTGGAAAGTAAAAATGTAGTTGCTGGGGGTGGTAGTGTAGAGGCAGCATTGTCTATTTATTTAGAAAATTTTGCAACAACCATAAGCTCAAGAGAACAATTGGCCATTGCTGAGTTTGCAAAATCTCTTTTAATCATTCCAAAGACATTAGCTGTAAACGCAGCACAAGATGCTACTGATTTAGTAGCTAAATTAAGAGCTCATCATAATTCAAGCCAAACAGTATTAGAAATGGCTCACTTAAAATGGTAAATACTTATTCGAATAAATTATTAATTTACCACTTTTTTTTATAAATTATAAATTTTTTTTTTTTTTTCATAATTATTAGGTACGGATTAGATCTTTATGAAGGAAAAGTAGTGGATAATAAGAAAGCTGGAGTTTTGGAACCTGCCATTTCCAAAATAAAATCGTTAAAATTTGCAACAGAAGCAGCCATCACCATTTTAAGGATTGATGACATGATTAAATTGGATCCAGAACCGAAAGATGATAGCAACTATCAAAAAGCTCTTCGCAGCGGTGAATTGGAAGACTAACATTGAAAACTTTAAAGAACAAATAAATTGTTTTTAAACTAATATATATATAAAAAATATGAATTTGAAAATTAACAACACTCAATCCTAGTTATATACTAAGAGTAATAAGTTAAAATTCACATTAAAAAAATTTAATCTCAGTGAAGCACCTGTTCAAGTTGTAATTTTTTTTTTTTTTTTTCTTTTGAATGAGATACTAACTTACTATTAATGTTTTTTTTTAGTTTGCAGATACTTAATAACTATTATAATAAATAAAGCTAATTTTTTTTATCTGTGAATTGTTTTTATATTTATTATTTGAAGATTGTACAATGAAGGTTAAATACTGAATTAATTAATTTTCCTATGGCAAAATTATTCACTTAAAAATTCATCCAACCATTCCTCTAAGTTTGTATCATCATTGTTTATAACTTCGCTATTAGAATTATCAGATGCAGATTTATTTGAATTATTCGATGGATATTTGTCTGTTGCAGAAACATTACTTGGCTTTGTTTCTTTTGGGGATGTAACAATGTTTTTATCACTTTTTATATCACACTTAACTTTTGAGTCTGGAACAGATTCAGTGCAGTGCTTTCTTACAAGAAAATTATCTTCACAATGTTTAGAAGCAAAATTTTTATCGAGAAATTTTTTTTTAATGGAATCATATGTTTCTAAATTGTTCTTAATTTCCTCATCGTAGTAAGCCTTCTCTTCCGGAGACAGCTCGGAGGGATTTAAATCTATTCTTTCATAAAAGGGTATACAAGCTAAACCACAACTTAAAACGTTTAAATCCAAGTTAAAAACATTGCTTGGAGACATGAAATTTCCTTCTTTTTTCCATTTTTTTTCTTCGCTGAATTCGAATTGAGTAAAATCAGATGATGCATTTTGTATCAAATAAGTAAAATTTTTAGTTTTATCTTCATTTACGTCGTCTTCAGCATCAACATTCAAATCATCAGTATCGTATTTTGACCAGTTGGATTCAATGGTTCTTTTCTGGTATTTTTTTTCAACTTTGTTACCTAAAAAATTCTCACGTTCTTCTCGCGATTTTTCATTTGAATTAACTATTTCCTCGTTTAACACTGATGTCTTTTTCGCTTGTCCCTTATGTTTGACATCCTTTTTCCTAGACATCTCAACATTAATTTCTATAATCTACATGAAACCTAACCTCACCTCATCATAAAAAAAAATTTAAAAACAAAGTAAGTAGTTCGATAAAGTACCAATAGAGTGCGGGTCGGTAGTTATATTATTTATTTTTTTAAATATTTTTTGTCGATAAAAAAAAATTTTCTTTCTTTCAATTTTCATTTTTCCTTTTTCCTTTTTTTTTAAATAAAACCGTAATTATTTTTTTGATGATGATGATGATGATGATGATGAATTTAATTATAAAAATAAATGAATTTTTTTTAAATAAAAAAAAAAAAAGAAAAAAGAAAGAAAAATTCTAAATTGCTTTTATTTTAAATTCTTATCAATCGCGTAATAAAAACATTATTATTATTATTAATAATAATATAAACAGAAAAAATTTTTGAAAAAAACGAGTTAAAAGGAAAAAAGAAGAAGAAGAAAAATTTTATTAATTTTTCCATAGAATAAAATATAATAAATTATTTTAAAAATAATAATAAAAGAAAGAAAGAAAAAGAAAAAGAAAAAAAAATGGGGAAAAAATTTTATGGAAAGCTTTGTTTTTGTTGTTGTTGTTGTGTCCGTTTGTTGTGTCTCTTTTTGTTGTTGTTATTGTTGTTTTTTGCGGTTGTTGTGTCACTTGTTGTTGTTTATGTTACTTCATATTAATTTTAAAATATAAGAAAAGATTTAAAAATTTTTTTGTTTTTTTACTTACTCCACTCCACCTTTTAACAACATAAACATTTTACTATTATTATTATTATTATTAATTTGTTATTTTGAATATGTGAAAATCTAAAAGAAAAAGTCAATCATTATCATCATCATTTGATTTTATCATTATTATGATAAAAAATTTTAAAACGAAATTTGTAAGTAAAAATTTTAAATGAATCTGTTTTAAATCTTTTGTATGTCGAACAAAAAAAATTTAAATCATTCAAATAAGAAAAAAAAGAAAAAAAAAAGTTTAGTGAAGATTTAAATGACGTGAATAAAAATTACAAAGAGAGAGAGAGAGAGAAAAGAGAGAAACCTATGTCAGAATTAATTTTTTTTTTTTTTAAGATTCAGAGGAGCGTTCAAATAATCAAAGAGATACAGAATAGAAGAAGAATAAGAGCCAATGGCAAGAGATGATAAAGGCGTGGCTTAAATAGTAAAGCAGCATCAGAAAGGAGCAGGGGAAGTCCCACCCGCGCTACTGTGCAGTTCCCACGCGACCAGGGCCATACGGCCCACGCCGACTCGTCTCGAATCGGAATTCGTATTGTTGTTGTTGTTCTTCATTTAAGTTCTTTCGATTCAAGAGGAAAAAAAAAAAAAAAAAAACCATGCCGCTTATTAGATAGAGAGAGAGGGAAATATAGAGAGGGAGTGACAGACAGAGAGAGAAAGAGAGAGAGAGATAAAGAGAAATCTAAGAATTTGTGTGTGTGTTAAGTGTTTTATATGTGTGTGTGTGTGTGCTTGTGCGTGTGCGTGTGTGTTTATTATGTGTTTGAGTTGAGTATATGAGTGCGTGTGAACGTGCGTGTGTGAGTGTGTGTTGAATGAAAGAAGAAAAAGAAGAAAAACGATTGATTAACTTCTTGGAAAGACAACCAACAACAACAACAACTCACCAGTCGTCGTCGTCGTCGTCGTCATCTCTCTCTCTCTCTCTCTCTCTCTTTCTGAAAAAGGAATTTTTTAGTTTTGGATAAGATGAACATGAGCGGTAATCCTTGAAGGCGCGCGGGGCGGGGTGTCCGTTCATCGGAGGCTGCAGAAGGCACATAGTTAAGTCCGTACTTCTCCAGAAGCAAGACCTGCTGGACTTCTGGGCACCGCTGTGGCTCCCGACAGGTAAGTTCAGTCTTGTTCAGGTTCTCGGGTCCACACATTTAATTGAGTCATGTTCGCGACACTTTAGGCGAAAGTGAAAAAAAAAAAAAAAAAAAAAAAAAACGGTCAAATAAGTCAAGTGAATTTTTTTTCTTTTTTCTTTTTTTTATTATTATTATTATTTAAAAAAAAATTTTTTTTTATTTTCGGGTTCGTTTTTAAAAAAAAAAAAAAAAAAATTTATATGATAACGTTTACAACGACAGAAAATTGGGATATGATAAGGTTTGTTAACAAAACTTTTTTTTTATTAATTATTTTCTATATGAGTTCCGTTCGGAAAATTTTTACCGTTTCCGCCGGAAACGTACTAATTAAATATCGATATTAAATAATAATAATAAGTCGTATTTATCGAACGTTATTTTTATTATTATTAATATTTTTAAAAAAATGTTTAACGCGATCCTAATAACGATTTTTTTTTTTTTTTTTTAAATTAAAAAATGAAAGTTTTATTATTATTATTATTTGGGAGGATTAATATTTATTTAATTATTATTATTATTAAAAAAAATTTTAAATAATAATTGAGGGGGACATTTTGATTTTTTTTTTTTTTAAATAATAATAAGAGGTGTAATTTTTTCGAATCGTTATTATTATTCAGGTTGATGATGATGATGATGATGATTACTTTTTATCACACGTTTTATTATCATGCCGGGGGGGCGGCGGGGGGCGGAAAGAAAAAAAAATCAAATATTTGTTCGCAAAGTATTATAATTAAATAAAAAACAAAAACCGCTCCCTTTTTTTGTTTTTTCTTATTAAACGAAAGAGGAAACGATTTTCTCTCTCTCTCTCTCTCTTTTAGATATCTCGGTTATGTAAACTTCCTGTGTAAATTGCGTCAAAGGTATCGTTATTATTATTATTATTATTATTATTATGTACCTAAAACGTGTCACACCTATTGTCACAAATAATCCATCCATCCGATTCTCTCAAGCTCAAAATTTTTTTTTACGTGGAAATAGATAAAGATGTAAAAATAAGAAGTAATAAAGAGAGAGAAAGAGAGAGAAAAAAGTATTACCCGAGTAATAAATTACCCGAAAAATCATAATAATTACGATGTCGATGATTGGTTAAAAGGGAAGCCGCCGCCGCCGCCGGACGAAAGTACCAAAAAAAAAAAAAAAACCCAAAACTTTAAATAAAAATTTAAACGCGGTATCGGCGGTGGCGGTGGCAGCGGCGGCGGCGACGATGGCGGTTACCTGTAAACCGTGTTAAATAATGACAAAGTTTAAATTGTAATGACTACCCGAAGAACTCTCATTTTAGAAAAAATGAAAAGGGAGAAAATAATAATAATAATAATACCGGTAGCTCTTAGTGGCTGTGAAGATATTGCGTGAGCAGGGAGCCAATAGAAAATCAAGTTATTAATATCATCATCATCATCATCATCGTATTTATTCCTCCTCGTTTTCGTCGTCGTCATTTTACTTATATGATCTTTATTTATTTATTTATTTACAGATAATAATAATAAAAACAAATAAAAGGGTAAATATTAATTAATAATAATAATAATAATAAAAAAAAAAAGAAGCGAACATGTTTGCGATAATGCAAGTGGAAACGGATGATAGAAGGGAGTTTCGGCGCAAAATGCATCGCGCCAAATGTGAATTCGTTTGCAAATATTGCCAACGTAGATTCACAAAACCCTATAATTTGATGATACACGAACGTTCTCATAAGGATGACGTCACTTGGACGTGCGAAGTTTGTGGGAAAACGTTCAAACGTCAGGATAATCTCAAACAGCACAGGTAAATCCAATCATTTATCTATTTTTTTTTTTTTTTTTTAATTTTTTATTACCTTTTGTTAAGGGTAAGAGTAAACTTTTTTGCCCTAAATGGGGAGGAGGGGGAAGGGGAGGTTTAAAAAAGGGGATTAAATAAATGAAAAAAACGACAGACAGACAGACAAACGGTGACGAAGTGTATATATATATATATGCAGTAAAACAAACGTTATCATTTACAGCTGTATAAAAAAAAAATTAGGTTTGCCGTCGGTCGGTAAAAAAACCTGAATTTTATTATTATTATTATTATTATTTTATATATATAAACATATTGCGACGCGGGGGGTTGAGAGAGAGAGATAGATAGAGAGCTTTTTGCAAAAAAAAAGTGTCGAGATATCCATAATTTTTTTTATTGCGACGTATTCGTATCGCATTTTTTTTTTTTTGTTCGGTTGTCGTTGTTGGGCGGATTAATAAATTTTCCTTTATTTAGTAAAAAAAAAAAAAAAAAAAAAAGTAACAAAATGTTTTTACAAAAAAAAAAAAAAAATTTAAAGTAGCTAAAAACGTATCGTTTTGGATAAATATTAAAAAAAAAAAAAAAAAAAAAAATGTTGTTTGACTGCTTGGAGAATCCATTTTCACGTAACTTGGACATCATTTGACAAAAAATTATGGACAAGAAGATAACCCGTTTTTTTATTTATATCATCATCATTATCATCATCATTATTATGATCGTCATTCGTGTGATTTTTAAGTCGCGAGTTTTTTTTTTTTTCCTTACGTAATATTTATATATATTATTTCGATCTCGATTAATAATAATAAATTTTTAATTATTTTATTTTTTTCGTCTGCTTTATAATTTATTACTTTAAAAAAAAAAAAAAGGAGGGAAAATAAAAGGTTAAAGGGTTAAAATTTTGCAAATAATAATGATTATGATGATGACGAGTGAACGAAGAGATGAGACCAAAAAAAAAAAAAAAAATTTCCTTTTAAAGTTTTTTTTTTTTTTTTCACACAAAAGTTGTCTCATTTTGATTATTGTCGCATTCGACGGTTGTTAATGGGCTTATACGACGACGACAACAACCACAACAACAACAAAGACAACTAAGACAACCATAATAAATATATTAATAATAAATTTAAAAAAAAAAAAGTCTGTCTGTTTTTGTGCATTTGTAGAAATTTGCTTCTTTTTTTTTATCGCGTTATACGTTTATATAAATTTATTATTTTAATAGTTTTTGTACATATTTTTATTTAAGCTATTAATAATAATAATAATAATAATAATAATCATAATAATGGTCGTTTTGTTTCGAACGGTTTAAGGAAAAAAAAAAAAGGTTTGATGATGTAATCGTTTGAAACAAAACGAATTTTGCGGATTTTTTTAATTATTTATTTTGACAATATTTTTGTGTGGTGGTTAATCATTGTTGCCAACACACGGAAAATGGCGAATAAAACAGGGAGGGTAAAAAGACAAAATTTAAATATATTTGGCGTTTGCATGAATGAATTATATACTGCTCGCTTGTATACAACGCAAAAGGAATCATCGAAGGATCCCCCTCCCCGAAGAACTCCCCGAAAAACGATTGTCCTAGAACACCCCTTGTAATGATAAAATGCCCGATGAGGGGCTGGAGGAGGCTGCCAAAATATGGCGGTTTTACACGTTCGTTAGTTTAACTGATTCTTCTTATTTTAGATGTGGGTGGCGGTGAAGCGGCGGCCTGAGCACTGCCTCGTCCCTCCTCGATAGATTTTTTATTTTAAAATAGTAAGAATCCATTTCATTTATTTTTTTTTTTTTTATCAATCACGAATCAAAACAAAAATCGAACGGTCATGTTTGTAGGATTGGGTAACAACAACAAACGACAACAAACGGCACAAACAAATTTCGTCGTTTCTCTTTTTAATACTTATGAGAACGTCTGCTAACAAAATGATCGTGTGTGTGTCGTTCAAACAACCGTTCGTTGCTTTAACAAAACTAACAAACAAACAAACAAACAAAACATTGCATGCAACATAAATTTGTAGTAAAGCTTTAATTTTTTTTTTTTGTAAAGTTGGTTATGGATTTTTTTTACTAACATTACAAAGCAGAGTGAATTTGTTTTTTTAAAGAAGAAGGAAAATATCATTACCGATCATTACCTTTAAGGTATTTTAAGGTATGATATAACCAAAAAAAAAAAAAAACCTTAATTATACATTACCAAACAAACAGTGTTTATAAAATTTAAATTTTTTTTTTTTGGGAGGTTTCCACAATTTTATATTAATTATAGTTATTACGTTTTAAATATTACGTAATTTTATTTATTTATTTATTTGCGAGAAAATAAATATGATTAAGGCGTTTTTTTTCCTGGATACGGTACGGTCAATAGAAAAACACTCTGCTTTATAATAATTATCATTATTATCATCATTACTAATAATTATTTTAATTAATTTTTTAATTTTTGTGACGTTTTTTTTTTTTTAAAAAAAATTATTTTTAGGTCGATTCATAGTCCGAGCTGTAGGCTGTACAATTAGCCGACAACAACAACCACAATCACAATCACAACAGTAACAATCAAACAACCAAAAAAAAAAAAAATATTCGATGCCACCATCACCACCACCACCACCGCCACCACCGACGACGACATATTTATTTATCATCCGTGCAATAATAATAAAAAAAAGTCTGTTTTATGTTTATCGATCGATTTTATTGATTTTTTTTTTTTAATATTCTATGTACGTCTATGTAAATAAGTTTTTATTATATCCGCGGAATAATAATAATAATTATTATTATTTATTTCCCACGCGGATTTTATTTTTTAATTATTTAAAAAAAAAAAAAATTATTATTTTATTATTATTATTATTAATATAATCGCGAGTGTTTTTTGTAAATAATGTATATTATTATCATTATTATTATCATTATTATTATTATTATTTTGCTTATTTTTTTTTTGATTTTTTCCAGGCTGTAGATTACAAAAAACTGGAATCCATTTTATTTTTTAAAAAAATTTTATCCGATTCCGATTTTCATTTTATATAAATAAAAAAAATTTTTTTTTGTTTGTTCGTTTGTTTGTTTTGTTTGTTTGTTTGTTTATACATAAAAAAAAAATTTCATATTTAAATGGATTCCATAACATTGCAATCTAGTCTACGTCGATTGATTGTTGTTATAAAAAAAAAAAAAAGTTTAGGCTAAATATCAGTGCCACGTTTAAAATTATTATTATTATTATTATTTATTTATTATACCATATAAATATATATACTCTATTATTTTATTATCATTATTATCGATCATTTATTAGTATTATTATTATTATTATTAGGGATGAATCCGTCCTCAAAGCTTTAAAATTTTTTTTTAATTTTTTTTTTTTTTCCGCGTTTGTTTTTTTTTTTAAATATATTTAAGTAGTGATAGTAATAATAATAATAATAATAACCTTCCGATTGTTTTTTTCTTATCAGTGATAATGATTATCATTATTATTATTATTTAAATAAATCAACTTCAACGACGACGAGAAAAAATTTATATATTATTAATATTATTATTTTTTTTTTTCCCACAATGATCGGGTGTGCGAAATTCATTGTGGGGGGAAAAATTATTATTATTATTATTAAGAATTTATAATTTAATCACTTTTATGAATAAATAAATAAATAAGAAAAGTTAATAAAAAAAAAATTAATTTTTAATTTTTCCATTGACAGAAAAAAAAAAAGTTTCCTTTCTCCATCCACGTATAATTTTTGTTACGATGATGATGATAATAATAATTAAATTTATTTTATCACATAATCGATTTTTTTTACAAGCAAGTCATGCATTCCCTTTCTCTCGAATTTTCGAAAATAATAATAATAATAATAATTTGTTTGTCGAAAGTCGAAAAAAAAAAATTGTTAGGGTTGCGTCAATCTTTATTAAACAACAAAAATTATGGATGGAATTGATTATGTTTGACTTTTTATTACGTTAAAGTTCGACCGCATTAAATATATATTATCATCATCATCATCATCATCGTCGTCGTAAAATTATTATTATTATCATTACATAACATAATATTATTTATATAAGAAACAAAAAGTAAAAAAAAAAAAATTTTTTTTTTACATTTGTCATCGTTTGTCGTCATAATTCCGAAAGTTTATAAAAAATCGATAAAAAATCGATAAAATCAATTGATTGGTATTAGGTTTTTTTTGGGGGTGGGGGTGGGATGTTGTATACCTGTGTGACTTGTTAAATGACAAAAAATTTATGCCTTTTTTTTTTTGTTTATTTTAATTCTTTCCGTACCTTTTTTTTCTTTCCTTTTTCTTTCCTTTTATCTTAAATTATCAATCAAAAGGTTGGAAAATCTTAAAAGGTTTTTTTTTTTATACGATTATTACGATGATGATGATAATAATAATAATGTTAAGATGGTAGCCATTTTATTTTAATAAAATTTTTTCCGAACGATAATAATAATTAAAATGAATCAATTGACGTTTTGAATGAATGAATGAATGGAAAATTGGCGAGTTTGTACTAATGGCGTCACAACGGTGATGGTCATAATGGGGGGGAGGGTGGGGGGAAGAAGGCCTTACACGTTTATTGATTTTAATGGCTACCAAAAACGACTACTTGATTTTTAAATTAAGTTTAAGCAACTTTTTTTTTTTTTTGTTTCAAATTTGACATTTTGACAAGGTCATCAAATTATTATTATTATTATAAAAATTGATTCGGGTAGAAAAAAAATTTTTTTATGAATTCCACGCACGCACGCACACACGCACTCATGAACGCACACACCCCCCCTGCTTCCTCTCCCTCTAATTTTTTTTTTCTTCTGCTTTTCGAACGAAAAAAAAATTTGAAAAAGTTTGTAAGAAAATATTCAAATTAGAGACTTGGAAAAAAAAAAAAATAATTGTTAACCGATTTCATAAACGTTTTTTTTTTTTT